GGAAATGCTCAGTGGACACCCCAGGTAGGGTAAGGATCGGCATTTCCACACTACTCAGAGAATTTATATTTTCAAGTATGGATTTTTAGCCCAATTCAAGTTGAAGAAAAGTGGTTTCGTGAAAATCGCAGAAATTTTTTTTTCAGAAACTCCGGTGCGCCTGGTGGTCGCGATGCGCCGCCGGCAGTTGTATTCCAAAACTGAGTCAGTCGGATTACACGAGTACCCAAGCATGATTGAAACTCATTTAACTGCAAGTGCTTCAGATAGAGTCAGACTGAGTCTGTCAGATTATATGAGTAACCAAGCATGATTAGTAACCGAGTAACTAAGTAACCAAGCATGATCTTTCTTTGAAACCCTCCAGTCATTAGTTTTTGACATGTTTTCCTTTCACCCTACTGAACTGAAGAAAATAAACTACATGCACCATGGATATTGAAACCAATCTTGTAAAAGTATAATAGTTGTCATCAGATTTTATAAAGAAAAATGACACATTGTCTTGTTGTAATCACTGTGTTTGTAATATTTTATTTCCCATTACTGTTCTAAAATATGAGATGGAAGTTTTACACGTGTGATTCGCTGAGGTAGCAGCTGGGGAGGTGCTTTGTCCTTGCAGAACAAAAATAAGTTGAACAAAGTAATCAGGACTGGTGGTAGATTACCAAAGTTTCATGGACTCATTATCATGTCTAACAGGGTGAAGTACTTTTGATCTCACACATAAAATCTTAGATGACCCCTCTCATCCACTTTTTTTAAAATATACTCTCTGCCCTCTGGGAGGAGGTACCAGATCCTCCTTTTTACATAAAAACATTTAATTGTTGAACAATGAAAAGTGTGGTTACAGCTAGGAATCTATTTATTACTGTTATTGTTGTTTTTAAACTCTTGACAAGCTAACTGCCTGTTTTTTTAATATTAAGGTACTGGAAGAAATCTGATTGAGCGATGTTGTTAAATGTTTTGTATTTAAGTTTTTTTACAGTTGTTGCATTGTTTTATTGACAAGTATTTTCTATATTTAGGCACTCTGGATGTTCAAGACACATTCTCTTAGGGATAATGAAGATTAATTCAATTAATTCATTCTTTTTCATCACAATTTACATTTGCATGTAATTTTAATGAGTGTTAAATTAAACAAATCATAATATTGTCACCATATTTCCTGTTTACTGGAATCTATGGGTAAGGATTAAGAAAGTTAAGCTTCTTTTTTCTTGATTCCCATGTAATGAATGAGCTTTCAGCAAAAGGAAAGATGCATCATCATTCTAAATGTCTTGGATCAATATTGCCAATGTATTTATTATTTACTGGCAGCTAAGATATTGTCTAATTTTGGTCTTTATCCTAATCTTGTCAGCTGGGCTACTGATTTCCTTACAGATTGAACTCAGAAGGACCTCTGCATTAGGGAAGATCCAGTGGAAAGGGTGAATAAAAGAAGTATTTATGAGGTGTGTTCTAGTTTGCAAGTTACATTTTGAGACAATTGTTGATTCTATTTTCAAAAATGGCAACAGCATCCTCTTTTCTTATGGAAGGTTGAGCAATTTAAGGTTGATCATTCATTTTTGATTATGTTTTATCAGTATTATTGAATCTGCTTTAACACCTAGAATGTCAGCTGTTTCTGAGAAACCCTTCAGAAGCTGCAGTACAATAGAAACCGACTATTCAAGAGGTTCAAGAGGAGAAGCTGGGGGTGCTCCTCCCTATCCTCTATCATTCAATTTTCTCTTTCCTATTGAAACCCTAACCTCACTAACACACACGTCTAAAGTTTTGAATTCAGGTCTCTTGAGTTGAGAGGCAGACCTATAATGGCTCGCATTCCTAATTCTCTGCCTTCCTCAGACGACCTTCTTCTTCTTCTACTCATTTCTTCCTCAGCACCTTCAAGATTCTCCACACTTTGTTTTCCATTGTTTTGCCCCATTGACTTCCTGGGATTCATATTAATCTACCTCTCTCACTGGTTGCCAACATTTCTCCTTCTCCCATCCAGCCTCCCGGATTACACCTCCGTAAAACACCACTGCACCACCACAGATACGCCAGCTCGTCTTTTTAAGCTCCAAGAATTTGGCCCCTCTACAAACAGCACAAATTCTGAAACTCGCCTCGTTTGTGCTGCGTTTGTGCCGTTGAAAGTAACATTTGTGCTGCCTTCACTCCCAAGATATAGCAACTTCTTTTCAGGTGATCACGTGACTATGCATGGAGACTTTGACCTCCAGAGCTTCTCAAGGGACTCTCCGCGAGTCAGGGGTGTTTATGTTTTCATGCCCAGGAGGCTGCCATGTCAGCCAACCCAAACAACCCCTACTTTCCTAACCTCTTGCTTCTCCCCTTGAATTGTGAAATAAAAAGGTGTGAAATCACCTCAAAGGGCAGGAGCAGTTTCCTAGTGCTGGAAGCTAAGGAAAAAAATCCACACCTGCAGACTGAAAGTAACAAAGCAAAAACTGTTGGTCTCCTTGAAGAGAATATATACTGTACAATTATTTTGTCCTGATACACAATTCCTACTAAGCAATACCAGGCAAAGATCTTTCTCTGCTCTGTCTGCACGGAGCCCTTCCCAGCACAGAGCAGAGCTAGTTAGAGTACAAACTAACTGAATCCCAACTCCATGTTACCAGTGCAGTAAGGTAATGCATCAAGGACGTCTTTACAAAGGATTTTGATTAGAAACATTTCTGTTCACATTATTATTCTCAAGAATTAAACTGTCAACCAACAGCGTGCAACTCACTGCTGGCAGTTCACTGCTGCTAAGCAGGTGTGAGCCTGGTCAGTACCTCGATGGGACACCTCCTGGACATGGAAAAACTAAGGTTGCTGCTGTTTTAATAGTGCCAGTAGGTGGCGCTCACCCTGCAACCTGTGTGGGTCCTAATGCCCCAGTATAAAGATGGGGACACTATACTGTAAAAGAGTGCTGTCCTTTGGATGAGATATAAAACTGAATTCCTGACTCTCTGTGGTCATTAACAATCCCAGGGTGTTTCTCAAAAAGAGTAGTGGTGTAACCCTGGCATCCTGGCCAAATTTCCCATTGCCTATACCAGTTATGGCCTCCTAATAATCCCCATCTCTGAACTGGCTTCATCACTCTGCTCTCCTCCCCACTGATAGCTGGTGTGTGGGAAGCGTACTGGCACACTCTGGCTGCTGTTGCATCATCCAGGTGGGGCTGCACACTGGTGGTGGTGGAGGGGATCCCCATTACCTTTAAAGTGCTTTGAGTGGAGCATCCAGAAAAGCACTATATGAATGTAAGGAATTATTATTATTAATTGTTGGTCCCAACACATTTCATGTTCAGTTCACAATAGTAAATGCATATGCATCTGAGAAAATAAATGATTAAATTATATGAGACCTATAGACCCTATGAGTCAGAACAAAATGTAACATAGTAAAATCATTGTATTTTAAATCTGTAGTTATTTATCTTTGTAATCACTGAGTGAACGATCAACTATTTATATCAATGGAACAAGTAAAGGTTTATTCCATGCTGAAAAGATAAGAAAGAAAGCACAATGTTTCGGCCGCAGCTACCTACTTGAATTATTTGTATCAAAGCCAATCATCACAGATATATTCTATTACAGGTGGGTAGCAACAAATGTAACATTCTATTACGTTTGTTGCTGTGATGCATGCTTTGGTTTTATAAGGATAAATTGTATATTATATATTTAGAATCCATGAGTGGAAACGTTAAATGGTTACTTTTGATTTCTTCCTAAAAGTCGTCAAATACTCTTGTAATTTACCATTACAATTTCTGTTTGTTACAGTAAATTAAAACCCCATACACTACACTGTCATGCAAATTCTGCAAAGGTATTATAATGAAACTATACTTACAAGATGGGAAAGTCGATTAATGAATACATTTAGTTTTTCTATCCTATGTGTCCCTAAGCCTTCCTTTTGTAGTTTAAGCTTAGACTGACACTGCAAGATCCAGGTGCTCTTCTTCAGGTGGGCAATGAAATGCGTTTTGAAAGATGCAGAACTTTTCCCAACACCCAGCTCTCCACTATACACATGTGGGCAATGAAGCTAATGCATAATAGCAAATCTTTGTGGTATTTAGTAACATTGGTAACATACACATAAGATCACTTTATTGGCCATATACAGTACAATTTCTTGTATTAGGAAGTTGTCTTTTTAACATACCCCAACTTGCTCACCATGAGGGAAAGAGGCTTGGGGTCAGAGTGCAGGGTCAGCCATTTATATGGAGCCTCCGGAGCAGTTGGCATTAAGGGCCTTGCTCAGGGGCCCTGCGGAGTAGGATTCCTCTGCCAGCCACTGAATTTGAACCAGCAACCTTCCTGCCACAGAAACAGATCCTTAGCCACAAAGACATCACACCACCATTAACATGTTAAGGGTCATACTTGGGGTTAGGGTTCAGATTCAAGGTAAAATAGATGCCCTGCTGGATTATTTTGCTACTTGTTGACCAATCGCCTAGCATCTGTATTGTATCTTCCTCCAGGCAAAGACAAATAGATGCTGAAGCATACAGTGAGCCATTGTGTGAGAAAGCCAGGCACCGATAGATGCACAGACACACACATTCAGACACAGAACGCTAAAGCTGCCACAAACAGCAGGATAGACTTTCTACTGTGTACTGAAGAGGGACTGTCTTCCACGAGTCTCACAGACAATACAGTCACAGCATCTAACCAGGAAACCTGCAAGTTTGCTTGCTGAACACATTTCAGGACATATTTTTCTTTCCAATACTAAATGAAAATTATCAGGAATTTTTAACTGTAAAAGCCGAGTGATTGTCTAGAAAAACCAACCACTCCACTGAAGATTCTCTAAGGATTGTCACAGACCAAAAGATCTTAGAATTGAAGACACAAAAGGTACTATTATTATTATTATTATTATTATTATT